CAACTTATTTGGGATTATACTGTGTACCATGCTTTGGGTGTGTTATGAGGTGAAAGTGAAGGTTGGGACATGACTGATTTGTGGTATATGCAAATAAGTACAAAATTATGTTCTAAAAATATGAAATAATTCAACATTTAATATGTGAGAAACATAGGAAACCCTCAAGATCATTTAGTCCAGTGTCCTAGTTTTACAGATGAAGAAAAAGAGGTGGCTTAGTGGCACAATCAGGTCTGGAATATCAGGATTCTGATACTCTTTCCACTATACTTGGAGACTTGCACCAAGGGAATAGTTGTCATTTGGAAAACGTTTAACACAAAATATTTACTGTATTTGTGTGAAGTCTTACACAGATCTAGTGTGTCTATTTATTCTTCTGGAGTTTAGCTGCTTGTCCACAGTCTCTATTGATTCTGAGTTCCTTATGCTATTAAGCCTTGTTGCATGACCTTAGATTAAGTCTCATTCAAGTACTGAATATTCCTAAGGGGCTTAACAATGTGATGCAGAAGAGAGCTAGAAGGTTCCTTGGAGACCACCTGGCCAACCCCACCAGGCAGGCATTTTTATAGACATTTAGCATCATTCTCAATTGACTGTCTGATTTGAACTCTATGACTCTTCTGGCTCAAATGGGAGGGAGGGGAAAAGAAAAATGGGGGAAGAAGGACATTTCCCCATCTCTTCTTTAACACTTCATATCCAGATGTTCTCTATAGTTAACCACAACATTGAGCAGGAAATGACTGTTGAACCTCCACAAGGGAACCATTCAATAAATACTTATTGGCTGATAGAACAGCATTCTCTGAGTATCTGTTCACTGGAATGGTTTTCCCTTAAGTATCGAGGGTACCTTTCATTGAAATCAGTGTCCATTTTTTTATTGTGGTAAAATATACATAACAAAATTTATCATGTTAACATTTTTTAGTACAAGTCAGTGCATTAAGTACAGTCACATTGCTGTACAATTATCACCACCATCCACCTCCAGAACTTTTTCATCCTCCCAAACTGAAACTCCATGCCCATTAAATAGTAACTCCTCTTTCCCACCTCCCTCCAAACCACCATCCTACTTTCTGTATCTGAATCTGACTGCTCCAGGTCCTCATACAGGTGGAATCATACTGTTTGTCCTTTTGTGACTGGTTTATTTCACTTAGCATAATTTGTTTTGTTTGTTATTATAATAACCATTCCAATGGCTGTAAAGTAGTATCTCATTGTGGTTTTGATTTGCATTTCCCTAATGATTCATGATCTTGAGCATCTTTTCATGTGTTTATTGGCCATTTGTATATGTTCTTTGGAGAAATGTCTATTTAAGCTGTTTGCCAATTTTTTAATTGGGTTGTTTTTTGGTTGTTGAGTTGCAGGAGTTCTTTATAAATTCTGAATATTAATCCCTTATCAGACATATATAATTTGCAAATATTTTCTCCCATTCCATGGGTTGCCTTTTTACTCTGATGTCCTTCAGTGTACAAAAGTTTTTAATTTTGATGAAGTCCAATTTATCTATTTTTTATTCTGTTGCCTGTACTTTTGGTCCACTAACTTTTGAACTCACATTTCAATCTTAATTTTAATTCTTGACTTTGGGTACTGCTGCCTGAGGTTAACTTAGGTTTTCTGGGGCCTGAAGTACATGCAATTTGGGAGGCTTAAGAGAAAAGTACAAAAGATGCTACTTTCATAAATTTTTACTAAACTTTATAACCATGTTATCACTAGTTAGGATGCCTCCTGGAAGGAGTGATGTAAGCTTCATTAGCCTCATCCTTAATCAGCCTTTATAACCACCACTACCACTTTCTTCTTCCCTCCCCCTACCATTTCTAACAATTCAGAAAGCGTCTAGGGAATTTGAGAGCCTGTGAGACTCATTCCAACTATAAATTGTAATTGAAATATCAGTGAAGGGAAGTATTAGTATAAAAAATTTCCAGTCAAAGAATATCAGAACAGAAATTCTCCTATAAATAGCTTAAAACCATTACTTAGTAAACCAGAAAGAACTGGGGTTTAAAATGCCTAGGTCATAATTCCAGCTCTATTACTAACTGGTTTTGAAAATCTGTGCAACTCAAACTGTCTGATCTTCAATATGCATAAAATAAGAGGTTTGGATTTGCAATTCTGTTCCAGCTCTAATAGTTAATCATTCTTTTTACTTCCAGTTCATTCCTTTACCTGCTTTTAGTGACTATCCCCCGTACCAGCTTCTACCCCTGCTGTGCCAAAATTCTGCCTTCCCATGAGCCCGCTTCTCAGGTATCATTCCCTTGGGCCTGATGCTTCCGTCCATGGATTATGACTCCTCCTTAAGGAGAAGTTCTAGGATATCACAGATGAGAAGCTGCCTACACAGATGCTTTTTTTCACATACTGATAGGTTCTGGTCTCCTCTTGTAAGCAATATTTACCTTATCCTGTTGTATTCAAATTTGATTACTGTACTACCTCTCCTATTCTATATTCAGTTGCAACTGAACATCCCCACTTAGATGTCCCGCAAGTATCTCAAAGGGAACATGTTCTACACCGAACTTATCACCTTCCCCCACCTGTCGGTCCTCCTCTAGTCCCTGTCTTGGGGGAAGCCCTTGACTGCTCTCACTTCCTCAGATTCAAAGTCCTGTCTGTTTTACCTTATGGATGTTTCAGATACATCCATTTCTTTCTATTCTCACTGCCGTATTTTAGGTCAATGGTCCATCCCCTCTCACCTGAATAAGTGTAATAGCCTCTTAACTAACTAGTCTCCTTGTCTATAAAGTTGCCCCTGTAATCCATTTTCCATAGTCACAAGAATTACAGTACTAAAGTGCAAATCTGATTATTTCATTCACCTGCTTGAAGCGCTCCAGTGGCTCATCATTGCTTTCAGAATAAAGACCCAAGCCCTTATGAAGGCAAAGAAGCATCCCTCCCCATGAAAAGTCTGGATACCTGCTCTACCTCCTATTTTGACATCCCACCAAAGTCCGCTCCAGCCATGTTGTATCCCTTGCGTTCCTTAAAGGGGTTCTGTTCTCTCTCATCTTTAGGGCTTCACCGTCGCTACCCTCAGAGCCTGTAGTCCGCTTTCCCTACTCCTCTTTATCTGAAAAACTCATCCTTCAGAAGTCCGTCCAATTATTATCTTTTTGTGTGTGTGAAGCCTTCTCTGACACTGCAAGGCTAGCTTAAGTGCCCCTCTTGTGAGTTCTTTTAACACTTAGCACACTGTGTTGCACCTTATTCTTTACTTGTCTCTCTTTTCCACAAGACTGCTAATTTCTCGAGGACAGAGACTGATTCTTAGTCATCACTGCAGCCTCAGCACCTAACGCAGCACCTGGCACACAACAGGCATTCGATAAATATTTCTGCATAAACCATCTCATGAGAGAAACAGGTACTAAATAAAGATTTCTTGCCTAACTAGCCTCTCCCGTTTTCCTCTCCTATCGTATACCTTCTTTAATGGATTTTTAAAAAGTGAGATTCTAGGTGATGGGATTATAGGTATATTATGTTATTCTTTATGTTTCTATTCATATATTCTACATGTATTCTATATAGAATTAAATAGAATTCTATATCAGATGATCTGTTTTATCCCATTGTCGTAGAGCAAAAATATCAAATTCATGTAATGAGACTTAGGAAAATATTCCTCTTGGGCTATGCTGTATAGTGATTGCAGGAACTCATGTATGATGAGGTTCAGAGTGAACTACCAGTGGACCAGGGCCACAACCTCTAACTCCCAAGTTATGGTGGGTAGAGACTGACAACACTGTCTCCTTTCAGAGGAGCACTTGAGGGGTGAACAGGGTCAGTGACTCAGCTGAGGCTACCCATCAGTCTCCTAATTTCCAGTCCTACACTCTTTCCACTGTATCATAGAGACAAAAACAAAAAGACCTTCTTTGTCCTAGCAAGACTTAGCTATAAAAATTTAGGGAGGCTTTTGAGCACATACTTCTGCTCAGAATACAAAGGATGGGAGAGTTCTAAAATGATTGTGAACCTTCCATGTCTAGAATTTAATGAAATAACACTAGTTCCTAATTCTCTTTAATTTCATTTAATTACTAGAGCTTAGGAAGGGAGTAAAATTTGCATAATATTTGTTTCTGGCCATCTGCTCCATTCAGAACCTTGGAACTAGACAACATTTTCTGGAAGGTCTATTGTGGGGAGGGAGTAGGCTGAGTACCTAGCATCTGAGAAAATACATAGCCAGTTTCAGGTGTCCTTTCTGGAATTCTAACAGTTCTCAAAGTATTTCAGTTTCAATTTCAAATTCCTATTCAGTCTTCACCTTATTGGTTTAGATTTTGTCACAATCAGATACTTTATGTTAATTTGGCCCCCAACAGGATTTGTTAATAATCTCAGATTTATATGATGGTTAGAGCTGCATGCTAAACAGAAATCACATATCATAATGTGGGGGAATTCAGTTCTGCAAAACTCCGTGGAGAACAGATTTTTAAAAAATAGGCACAATTCTACATTTTTAAAGTTTGTGTTAAGATTGCCCTAAAATGACTTATTTACCTCCACACAGGATCCACGTTAAAAAAAAAATCATTTGACCTGCAGAAGTAGAAATGTTAGGAGAAAATGAGTAAAGAAATAACACATTTAGGAAGGTGAAAATGTACAAGTAACGACCCATTTTGGCCCAGCCCCAAATCTTTAAGGAGCTGACACCTTGTTCCATCTTCTATTTTTCCCCCTTACTTCCAGCCAACTAGATTTCATTTGTTAATGTCTGGGGCTCCATTCGACCGGGAAAAAGCAGCGGCGCAGCGCTATACCCACCGACTGATGACGTGTGCTCTCTCCACACAGAGACACTTGGCATGGAATGAGGGACAGTGCCTGGCACGTAGTAGGTCAGCCTAAGACACTATAACATTCCTATGTGTGTGAGTCTGGAAGGGAGGGGCAGGGCAGGGCAGGGATTGTCGGATTCCCCGCTCCTTCGTTACCCAAGTCTCCGGTGCGGAGGCCAGCGTCGCTGGACGGGAGCCTGCCGCTCTTCGCGGGGGAGCGCCACCCCGGCCCAGCGCACGCGATGATGCACGTGGAAAGGCTCAGCACACTGCACGCGCTCTGCCAACCGAGGCGACCGGGCCCCATCTTCTCCCGGCGAATTTTTGACCTCGAGCCGCACGCGCACCTCGCTGCTTCCCGCGCCGGCCGCGGCTCGGGGTCCCGCCCGCCCTCCGCGAGGCGCCCGCACGGGCCGCGGGGCTGGCGGCGGCGTGGGCGGGGCTTGGCTGCGGGGAAATGACGTCGCCGCCCCCGCGCGCTCCGCGGGCCGCGCGCCCTGGTAACGGCGGCTCGGCGGCTCCCGCGTCCCGCTCGGAGTCCCCGCCTCCTCCCGCAGCAGCCCGCCCCGTCTCCTGCTCCCTCCGCAGCCCCCGCTGCGGCCGGCTCGCTGGGGCCCTGGTGCCCGGTGGGAGCGGGAGCTGCGGGCCGCGCTGCTCACGACGCCTCTGCCAGGCGCGCTGAAGGGCCGGCGACAGCGGGCCGGGCCCCGGGCGTCTGCCCCGCGTCGGTGTCGCCTGCGGCCTCGGGCCGGCGGGGCCGCCCGGTCCCTGGACGGGGGTGACCAGGGGGTCGCGGGCGGGCGGGCAGACGCCTGCAGCCGCGGCTGTTGGACGCCGGGTGTCAGGTCGGGAAGCGGCCGGCCGGGCTTTTGCCTGCCAGACGTCGTTGCTCCGCGGGCCGCCCCCGCGCGCGGGGACAGGTGTCCCGGCCGGGGTCTGTCGGGAAGATGGCGACCCCGGGGATGAGCTGGCAGCAGCACTATTACGGCGGCTCGGCGGCCGGGGCGGCCAAATTCGCGCCCTCACCGGCCGCCGCGCAGCAGGCGGGGCACAGCCTGGACTACAGCCAGGACCTGCACCTGAAAATGAGCAAGAAAATCGCCCAGCTCACCAAGGTAAGGGCGCGGCGGCGGGGTCCCTGCCTGCGTCCCCCGGCTCCCCTGCCCGGCCGGGAGCCTGCGCGCCCTGCGCCCGTACGCGCTGAAGGGGGTTGTTCTAGGGAAGCAACAGCCGGAGACTTAGCTCCAAGAACCCTTCAAACTTCGGGGGACACCGGCGACGTTAATTTCCACTTGCCCGCTCCACGGCACGGCTGGGGTTATGGGACTTGCGCCCCTCTGCCCTTTAGGGGTAAGCCTGCACAGAACAAATTAGTATCTACTTCCTTTATTGCACAATAACTAAATCCCTTTTGTTTTGCTCTCCTACGTGTGCCGAGGCTCCACGAGGCGTTACACTACAGTGCTGTATGAAGTACAGTACCGTGTTTACCCAGCATGACCCGGAATCTTCGGAAGTGAGCAGTATCTTTGATTGACTGTCTCGTTAAGGGGTGAATAAACCTTCTGAGCAATGTAGGAGGGTAAAACATACCTTGCGTGCCAGTTTGGGGGTTTAATGAGTCATTCCTTCTCCTGACAAAATGTCAAACAAGGCTTATTAGGTGAATCATGTGCCTGCATTTAGTTGTGTTCCAATCTATCCCCAGATAATTTTCAAAAAGCAAATAGCTTGCAAATTTGGCCAACTGTCGTTTCGGATGGTACTTGGATGGTGAGCTTTTTTCTAGTTTAGTAAACGTTGATAATGAGAAAGAGCTTGTATCTCTGTGAAGCAAGAGCAGCTCAGATGGGTTATATTGCTCCGTTTAGATATCCAGAGCCATCTTTCTGTACCCATTAAGTAAGAAGTGATTCGTGGTTTCTGGAAGTGAGTAGAGGTGACAGACCTTAATGGTTTAAGCTGAGTCAGCTAACCACTTGTTCAGAGTGTTGGTAGCAGAAGAGAGGAGGGGGTTTACTCCCAGATAGCCTCTCAGGTCGGAGTCTTTCAACACCAAAATTCTCATTATATAATTTCATTACGAGTTGGCACTTTTGAGAGTAAAGTAAGACACAGTGGGAAGAGAGGAAGGAAATGGGATGCAAGAGGGTAGAAAGATTTTGGTGGAGATATGTGGTTGAAGATAGAAAGAAAAATTAACATGAAAGGACTAAAGAATTGAGGGAGCAACTGCGAGAACAGAGGAGAAGGTGTGAGTGCATGATGGGAAACTCAGCCCGGCCAGGCAAGGCAGCAGTTTGTGAAGCTCTGTTTTTGTTTTATGCCAGCGCTGTTTTTGGAGGTTGCTATGGGTCCAGTTTTTACTGTTTCCTCTTGTGACAGAGGGTCCCCAAATTCAGAGAAAGGAAGATCCAAGAAGGCACTCAGTAGTATACCATCAGAGCATTTATACATTGGGAACTAAAAGCCAGGCTTCCTAAAACCGTGTTTGTTCTCCAGAATGCTGATGTCCAGAATGAAGCCCATCAGTATATATTTATTCTGATTTTCTTTTCTGCTGTGTCCAGAACATCTGTCCTTCTTATTTTAGATTGTAACCCTTTGGAGTGCTTCTAAGCAATAGAAGCACTCAGAAAGTTGGTAGTGAAACTGTGTACAGTTTAATAAAAAAAATTTATCGTCTCTTCAGAGAACTACTTTTCCTTTTATTTTTGCTTTTTCAATTTTCTGTTCTTGTGTCAGGAAAAGAAAAGAAAAATGCAGCACAGCTGTTCCAGGTGGGAGTAGAGGGAAGTGGCTGTCATTTTGTCTTCACATTCCCACCTCGAACCTACTGAGACAGGAGGCTGTCCCCACGCCTGTGCTCTCATCACGGCTTTGAGGGCTACACCTACTCCTTCCTGAGCGTTACTTGGACTCTCTGATTCAGTGTTTATAGTTACAGTCTTTAAACACTCGTGCCACCCCCTCTGCCAAGTGCCTCAGACATGTGATCCCTTATACTAGGGTTTCGCAACCTCGGCATTATTGTTATTTGGGACTGGATAATTCCTGGTTGGGAACCAGGGAGTGGAGGGGCTGTTCTGTGCATTATAGGATGTGTTTAGCAGCATCCCTGGTGCTGCCTGTTAGATTCCAGCAGCACCCCAGCACACACACACAGTTGTGACAATAAACATGTCTCCAGACATTGCCAAATGTTTCCAGGGTTGGGGTGGGGGAGTCATCCCAGGTGAAATATCTAGAGTTTCTCCCACCCCAGTCTCTTGCCTTTATTACTAAGATAAGGCCTGAGAATGAAACAATGTGCTGGTAGGACTCTGGTGCAGCCAACACCCTTCAGTTTCTGAAACTTGCAAGACGATCTGCCTCCCTTATATGCCATTTTAGAAACTGTCAGATTTTACAGTCACATACACTTATTGTAAATACTTTACCGTAAGAATGACATCATGAGTAAGATATTGACTGTTAGAAACTTTACTGGTATCTGCCATTGGAATTTTAACTCATGAAGAGTTCATTAATAAATTCACAAAGGCAGAGGTACGTTAATGGAACTATGGTGGGGACTTGACAGGAGCTTACATTTCAAAATTAGACATTATAGAGATAACCATTAAAATAGGATTTTATTTCTTTTGGAATGAGTCAGTAGAACTAACTCTTCAGTATTATAGTTAGCATGGTGCGGGAATCTGACATAGTGTCTTGAGTTACAACTCCTGCTCTGCCACTAACTAGTGGTATGACCCTGAGTGAGTCATTAATCACTGAGCCTCAGTTTCTTAATCTTTAAAATAGGGGTGCTTTAAAATAGGGATGCTGTCTCTAGGATAGCAGACTCTTAATTCAGGCTGTCACTGAAAAGAGATATTATATGCCAACAAACAAAGTATTAGTAAAATACTAGATAATTCATTTTTTAAATGCTCCTCTCCTTTTAAAATAAACCGTTCGGTATTTAACAGCGTTATGTGATAATGCATTTCGTTGGAGGGTTTTCTACTAAACTCTTTAAAAATGTATACAGTAATTTTTCTTCTTTTGAATATCAGACTTCAAATTTTTCACATTTGTTCTGTATTATAGTACTATATGGAAAATACGGTATGCATTTTTCAGAGATTTGGCTGGCTATGCGAGGATAAAGAAGAAGGTAAGCTATATTATAATTTTGCACACAGGAAGAGTCCATATATTTTTAACTGACTAAAAGGCAGTCTTGCTGGAGCTGTATTTGTTCAGACTCTGTTTCCTAAGAACCTCCCATGGCAGCCGTCTCATGGAAGAGCTCCAGTTCTTGAGCACCTTGTATGTGAGGGGCACTTTGCTAAGTGTCAGAGGTACAGCGGGAGCAAGAGACAGGCTCTGCCCTTTAAAGTGAGTATTATATTTAGGTTAGTTGTGTCGAATTTTAAGAATTACTGTTAGATTCGTGAGTCACATTGTGGCAAATTTCTGGCATTGTTAATGGCTGAACCATCTCAGGATAGGCAGAGAAGCTGGGTGGGTTGAGTTATGTTTTATAAGATCACATTTGTGTACTTCCCTACTCTCCACTGTGTTGACTGTTTAGTGCATTTGGTTGAAAAGCAGGACTTGTGGGATGTAATTATAAAACAGCTTTATTTTTCTCACTCACTGTCTTTTTTGGTTTACTCTGTGAGATAGCCTCATCCTCTGCCCATGGATAAACTTGACTTTTCAGGTTGCTTTTTGATAAGGCAAGTTGTCCTTCAGTAACTAAGTTGCGGAAGTCTCAGTTTGATTATTAAAATGTCCAGTATCAATAAATAAAGACCCTAAACCAAACCTGAATTAAGGATGAAGCTTCACCCCTATGCCCACTCCCCTGCTCTGCCTGCTGCCTGGGGGAAGCCAGTAATCGGGGACTAGGCATCATTGGCTTTTTTCTTCTGACTTGGCTTTTCTACCTCTGCCTTGTCTTGCCAGTCCTCATTTCTGACCCCCTCTCCCCCCAGGCTGGACAAGGAAGAAGGGAAGAGAGGAAAGGTGAGCTGCACACTAGACTCGATTAGTGCCGGTGCTCTAGCTTCAGTGCTGTTGTAGACTTGGCAGATGTTTAAAGCTCGTTCTTTCACTTGTGGATCCTCCACCTTCCACTTCAGTTGCTTGAGATTCCTGACCTGAAGCAGCTTGACAATCAGAATGCATCTGTATTCTGGCTGGTTGCTTACTCCTTCCTCAGCCTCTTGGATCTGGCAGAACCTTCATGTTCACTTTGCTGAGTGCGGTCTGTTCAAGCTCCAGGTAACCTTCGTAGATGGACTCGGGTGACTCACCCCAGCTTTCTCTGTCTCTGTCCCATAGGACCTTCACTGGTCCCTAGGAAACACTCATTCTTTGTCCAGACAGACTCTGGAAATGGTCCCAATTCAGCCATGTCTCTT